GAGCATTTCGTAACACAGTTTAGGTAACCTATATCTGTCCATTGGCATTAATGTAAAGAAGTATTTAATAGGTTTACAAACATAATTTGCATACAGTTCGTATCTTCCACATTCAGCTTTTGCAAGAGCATTTGTTGTTTTTAACCCTGTACAAAGTATCCATTTACAAAACTTGGTTTGAACTTGTTCTATGTCTGATATCATTTCTGTGCCCCAAACTTCAGCACCATAAAATAAAATAGGAGAGACCATTGAATCAAACAATTTAAAAGCTATATTAGCGTTTCTACTACCCAATTTTGAAATGCATAACTTGATGACGTTTAGTGACAGGGGTACCTCACGGAGAAAAAAATGTCAACCGAAAAGTGTCTTACCTTTCTCTATATCAGAAGGTATTTTTTTTAATACGATCATGTTTGATAGTAAATATTATATGATTTAGCAACAAATAGGAAGAAAAGTAAAGAAGATTAAAAATTTTTTAAAAATATGAAGAAAAAAAACGATGTAAAAATCTGTGAAAAAATCACATGTGACATAGGTGCAGCATAGGCATAAGAAAGGCGCTCCTGTCCTCATGTACCTGTGCAATCAACCGATGTTTTAAAGAGCCGACTGTCACCTCAAAGCTATAATCCTCAATAGTTGTTTATTTACTGTTACTAATGATCACCAATCAACCGATGTTTTGTCACCCCAAAATTAACAATCTACCACATTTTATAGACAAATTTACTAAAAAAAATTATTTAAATTCGCAATAATTTCACGTCGCAATAATTTTTTCCCCACTATAGAAATTCGCAATAATTTCATGTCGCAATTATGCTTCACCACCCCAACTCGCAATAATTTCATGTCGCAATAATTTCATGTTTTACAGTATTCAAAGTAGCAGGGAGGATATTTCTTTTTTGTTTCGTCGTGATTAGCATAGCTTTGGTTTTCGATATACTTAATCTCATATGGTTTAATACTATATTGGCATCGAGTTGAAGTTTTTGTTCTAATTCTTTGACAATAGACCCAGAAGTGTAGACTATTGTGTCATCCGCAAAGAGACCGGTTTTAGAGGATACGTATAAAGGTAAATCATTTATAAAAATATTAAATAATATGTGTCCCAATATTGATCCTTGGGGCACACCATGAAAGATAGATTTATTATCAGATAATATGCCGTCAACAGACGTGCACTGACTTCTGTTCTTTAAGTATGATTCTAGAAAAAGAATTTAAAATGTTTACATTTGTCAATTAGAATATCATGATTTACGAAGTCGAACGCTTGTTTAAAATCAAAGAATATTGCTCCACACAGGAGATGGTTGTTAATATAATCATACATGTTTTCAGTAATATGTGTTAAGAGTGTATCCGCGAGAAGACCATGCAAAAATCGCAAAAAGTGCTAAGATGGGGGGTCGGAAGTTTTTGATCAAACTTATGGTATGACACCCCCTAGGGGTAACATGCTGAAGTGGTTACAGTCTGATGTCGCTCTAAAGGACTGTACAGGAATTATTCATTTTATGGGTAAAAGTGCGGTTTTCACATGTGTATTTATCACCTTTTTTAAGCACAGGCTGCATTCTATGGTGGAATAGCAACCTTCTAATTTTGACCCTGTCTGATAAAGCGGGTGGTCAACTTCTACCCCAGCACTAATTTGAAAAAAAAAATCAGTACATACAAATTTTGTGTGGACTTGTTTTAGGGTACCATATTCACATTGTCCTTATAGTGCAGAAAAAGATACACTGTAACTTTTTCTTTCATGGTCGCAAGTAGAATTTCTTTGGATGGTTTTAAGTGCTAAGCACATAGTATCCATAGGTGTAAAAAAAATGACCGGAATGCAACATACTTAAAATATACAGCTTATTGAAAAGTGCTAAAAATAAGCTTTTGTGATACATTTTTTTGCAAATTTAACTAGAGAAATAAATTTTTTGACTTTTATACGTTTTCATCATATCCATAGCCATTATTTGTACCATGTTGTACTCTATATAAGTGTGTATTTGTATTTATTGTATATTTGGTATTGTCGTATTGTCCCTTAAACATATTTGTTGTATTGTCTCTTTAAGATTTCATTTTCAAACAAGTTACCGAAAATGGCTACAAAATGTTTAATTTCAGAGCATGTTTCCACTATTCATTTTGGGACACATCCACTGATTTCTACAATACAGAAATGTGGAAACTTAAATATTAACGGCAACGAAGCCTAATTGCGTCGAAGTGGGTGACATTGAACAGTGTAGTATGGTAGCTACAGCTCTCGGGCACCGTCAGCTGCACCTTCAGGGCCGGATTTAGAATAAGAGAGGCCCTAGGCAAACCCCCTGAACAGGGCCCACGACATGGACCTTGGGGCCCTGGGACAAGCAACTCGGTGAGAGGGTGGGTCGGGGGAAGTCATGCGGTTGGTGGTTCGAATCTCACTTTTGGGTGAATTTTTCATTTTCGTTGGATTATTTTATTTAAAATAATGTCTATTTGAGAGTAATGGATATGTTTGTTAAGATTGAGCACGTCGAAACTCCAATGGAAGGTCGTGGACAACTGCAGAAGTCAATTCCCGTTGAAGCCAGATGAGCCATGAACGATTACAGGCCTTTGAAAGTATTTTTTTTTTCAAGATATTTTTATAAAACAGATACTAATGTATTTTAGGGCTGGTAGTAAACACCATATGAATGAAAAGGAAAATAAATTGTTAGTGTTTTTTTTATCTACTACGGTTAATTATCTCCAAAACAGGGAAATTACAGGTTAATTTTATGGGTTATTGTTTCCTTTACCTAGTTTTTGCCAAGTCGATTCCGGTCATTTTTATTTTTTGTATCAAATGTTGGGAGGTTGCTTGTTCACGTGAGCATAAATTTTTTAAACCCACCCCATGAAAGAAGTAGCTATAGGGCGTCAAACTTTGGGTGACGAAAAATGGGGAATTTAGACAGGCTTTGATATCCAGTCCGTATACAGATCTCGTTCGCCAGAATCGTCTGAAGTTAATATTGTGGTAACAGCACTGAGTCATCGATAAACTATGTGAGTTTGGTCTTTCTGCTACGTATAGTAAAGGTGTAAGGACTTGCCAAAGTTGGTATTTGAGAAAATTTTGGCAATTTCACCACATGAAAAATGTTTTTTCAATTTTCTCATACTCGAATTGAAAGATTTATCTAATATTGCACATTTATGTGTTTTGGGACTATCCCAACTTATAAACCAAATTTGGTCAAAATCTGTGATTGAAGCCTTATATAGGCGAAAGACCGAAGAAATTTATCGTTCAAGTTCGTTGCAACAACCTCTGTGGGAGAATACTATAAAACTACGAAATTAAAGAGATTTAGTTCATCGATATAGAAAAATTGATTTTGAAAATGGGTGTCTCTTTTCCTAAAAAAAAATGTTAAGAGCAGTGGAACTGGAAAAATCAAGTACATCATCACTAAACGAGTTATTACAACCTCTACAAGGTAAAAGTTAATTTTGATACAATGTATTTAAAATCTTTATACATGTATTCCATAAATTGTTGTATTTACACAGACTTCCGACTGCCATCCTAATATATTGTAGTTTAATTTTCTAAATAAGACATTGTTCCTGACCATGTTTAATGGTTTATTACTTTATGTACATTATATGAATTGTAAAAATGTTAGTACAAACAGTACTTAATCTTACTTGCATTATTTTGGGAGATGTTTTATAATATATGTTTTAGACATAACTATAGATACAGTTGATGCATGGATTGAACAAGAGAAAGCAGAATCCAACTTTATCATAGGGCAACATTTAACAAATTAAATATAGTAATTATCAAATTGTTAACATTAATTCTAACTCTCATCACTTTCACTTTATCATATATATAACAGCATAATATACTGTTTAAATATAATGGTCGTACACAACTCTTTGGATTATTTTATTTGCAATATAAAGTCTGATTTCTGAAATAGATATTATAGGTAAAATTAATTATATTTATGATATGTTCGTTAAAAAAGTATTAACATTAGTGTTACTTTGCTCTTATTTTTTAAACAAATTTTCACAAGTTGATTTCCTTTATTTTGTTAATGTAGAATGGTAATGAACTGCTCTTTTCATTTTCTTTGTTTTATTTGTTTCGTTTGAATTTGATTTATCAGTTTAGTTTTTGATTGTTTAATTTTTGTTAATGAAGATGATTCTTTTAAACTTCGTTTTTATTTTTGAACTCTACTTGGTGTAGGTGTTCATCAGGTAATACCTCGACTGAGTTCAATATAGAGATTAGCCGGTTGATTTGTTGGATATAAACCTTTGAATAATAGCGCCTAACAGGCAGCTTTGTTTAATTATGTTCTCCTGATTTTGATTGTTTTTGTGTGTTTGAAGTATATGTTTGTGATATGCGCTTAGAAACACTTCACGTGTAATGAAGCGCTATATAAATCGAACAATAATAATAATAATAATAATAATTTTATTTTTTTAAATTACACGTCTCTTTGTACTAATTTAAAAACCATGATCTCCACACATTCATCATGTGCCAGTATTTAATAATTATTTTTTAAAAATGGAATTCTTTTTAACCTAATCACCTAAAAAATAAACATTACAGGCGTAGGAATACGCACTATGATCATCCGGAAACCCCCGAAGTTTGTTGCCGAGTGCCATTTTGGCCAATCAAAATAAAGAAAACTTTTAGCCCCGAACCTTCAATCGATTCCCTGACAACTCATCCCAAAGACAACTCAACCCAGACAACTCATCCCAATAAAAGACAACTCATCCCACTTTTAAAGACAACTCATCCCAAGTCAAAAGACAATTCATCCCAACTTTTACAACACCCGACTCATTCTAAATACCACAAATAATCACTAATATATGAATTTATTACATCAACAATTTATTAAATTATACATTTATGTATGAATTTATTACATCGACAATTTATTAAATTATAACCACAACAATATCATCAACTAATACATTTTATTAGGCCAGTCATTTAGTAATTTAGTCTGTCAGTTTGTCGTTCAGTCAGTCATTTATTACGTAAGTCTGTCCTTCAGTTCGGTCCATATATCCCCCCACATCTTTTTAGTAGCTGGTTGGTGCTTATTTCCTGACTGGTATATAAATTCCAAAGTTGAAATAACTTGCTTTGTGTAGTTCGTGATTGTTTTTTCTGGTGTCTTCTTCTGAGACCATTTTCATTTGTGTCGGTAGCTGCGCTGCTTCTTTATACAACAAAGATATCAGTAGATAAAACTGTAAATTCCCTTTTCTGGCCTTTTGGTTGATTCGATTATGCCATCCCTCGACATCCATTATTATTATTATTATGTATTTCATAACCACTTTAATTTGATCGGTTGTGGCCTTTTCTTCTAATTTATTGAATGTTGGCAATATATGTTCAGCGGGTAGGAATGGCAAGGCAAGGACTTTTCTAAAAAAACTTATATACAGCATCTTTCTGGCTGTAAGCAGTCTACAAAAATATAAAAAACTAATTGTGAATAAAACATAGACTAATTGTGAGTAATACCAGACAGTTGTGAATAATATCAAATAATAATATCGTTTTCAAATACTCAATTATTTCAAAAGTAACATACCTGAAGTCCGTTTTCTTGGATCTTTCTCCAAACCGCCTGACCCCAATGGAACGCACAGCCATGTATACTTGGGTTGTCGAAAACTGACCTTAAAGCCTGCCAGATCCCTGCCTCAAAATCTGCAACAAAAGCCTGCACTGCAGGGGCTGATGGTGTCATATCCATGATGGCCTTGAATACCTGTGAAGATTAAATAAAATTGTTAAAATGTCTTTGTTTGTAGTCAGTAATATGTCTTTTTTTACCGCTGACCTAGTAATAAGTCTTTTTTTTACTGCTGACCTTAATAATATTTCTTAAAATATTTACATACCTTCTTGTAGTCTCTTTTAGACTTTCCTGACATCAGTACAAACGCCAAGGGAACTTGCTTGATACTTTCACCAGATTTTAAAAAAACTATGGATTGACAATAGCTGGTAAAATGGTTTGTTTACTGTTCTAAAAGTACCATCTATATACCATGTCTTAGCTTTTCCAAGAAGTTCAATTTGCTTCTCTGTGGCAAAAAGTAGGTGTCGGCCATCTTTTGTGTGTATGTCTTTCTGTAAAAACACCTCCGGAATAGCTGTTGCCAAAAACTCTTCATTGATCTAGAAAATAATGGTGTAATTATTATTATTGCTTATTATATTGAATATTTCTTATTATACTGATGTCATTATTCAGTTACTATGAAAACTGATGGTAATATTTACATAATATGTCTTTTTGTACTTATTCTGTACCTCAAAATCAAGATCTGTTGGATCAGCTGGTCTCTCTTTTTGTCGGAACCGATTACAATATCGAAGCAGGTTCGAATAAATGGGTCTGGATGCCTCTGGTTCTCTGTTATCCACATGCTCAGCTAGGATATTATCAACAATATTTTGTGCTGGCTCGAAGAGTGTCATAGGTGCCTTTACTTTCAACTAAAAATATAATATAATTTCAAAATATAATACAATGTTTAATTTCAAAATATAATACAATGTTTAATTTCAAAATATAATACAATGTTTAATTTCAAAATATAATACAATGTTTAATATAATACAAAGGTGCCTATAATATGTAATGAAATTTAATATGTCAATATTCCTGGTTTGGCGGCGTGGGAGTGCTCTGTGTTGGCGTTGTACGTCCCGGCTCGTTCCTTTATAATAACTGGACAGAGGGTTGTTTTGTTGCGAATACTACACCGCCATTCAGTACTGCCCTTGTTCTGCCTTTTCATGGTAAAGGTGTGTCTAAAGGTGTGTCCGTCACTGGACACAAGCTTCCTTTTCCCTCGTTCGGTACCATTATCCACGACCTTGTATGTCACTATTGCTTCTGTTGTTGATAAATCGTCGCCTATGGACTCATCCGTCAATGAACTGTTCATAATAAAAATACAATAAAAACTGAATGTTAACAATATAAAAAAACTTGTATAGATTATGATATAGGATAAGGATAATACTAAAACTTGTTCTGGATGTGATAAACTATGCTTGTACTTACTTTTCCTGGATATTTTCTGGCATATCGACATCAGGGCAAACGGATAAATGGAATGTAGTCTGATCAACAGGTAAAGACAGTCTTGTACAATAGTGTTGAGTTTTGAATTGAGTATACAATAGTGTTGAGTTTTTAATTTAGTACAATAGTGTTGAATTTAATACAATAGCTTTGAATTTAAAAAACAACATTAAAGTCTTACCAGTATTACATGTCCTATGCTGCCATCGTTCACACCCGTCACACTGAACAGCCTCCTGTCTTGGGCGAACTACTGACTCACAAACTATACAGCTATCATTTTCAATAAAGTAATATTAGAAATATGGAGTACAGCACATAATATTTAAAATTACATTCTTATTAGAATCATTTTAGTCCGGTTCCATGGAACTTTGTCAAATTTATATTCCGTCGGTGATTGGTCTAAAACAAAACCTGCCGTCTTGTGGGAGCATAGTTTGGAATAGCCTTTACAGAAAAATCAAATGCAATTAGTCTAAGCCGTAAAAAGATCTGCAAAGATTATTGATCCTACAGGCGGAAATGCTATTTAAATAAGCAATTTTAGATTTTGATTTCATTTAGAGATTGCATTGCTCCCAAAAAAATTCACATGTGACATACAATTATGTTTTTTCTATCATAGGAAGAAGCTTCAAAGGTGAAATAAAAAGATGTTCGTGTAAAGTTGCTGCTCTTTCCTGTACAGATCTATGTGGATGTAAAGACTGTCAAAATTCCACACCTACACCCACAGAGATGGCTATTTAATGTTTAAAATCAGTGATGCAGGACGGAGGGCCTGACAAGGACAGCTGTCTATTCCTTCGGATGAGACGAAAAACCGAGGTCCCGTGTATACATTGGAATGGACGTAAAATATCCCTTGGCAGTTGGAATTCGATATAAGAGTAGGCGATAGTGCCGCTGCCCAGACAAAATTTCCATCATAGCACACTGTATGGCGTATGCCCGTCTTCATTAGCCCAGCATAGGAGCAGAACAGTAGGACGTTAAACCCCATTTCATTTCATTTAAATTTTGAACTACACGTATTAAAAATCTTATCTATTTCTTTATATATCAGACATGTGCAGCATACATATTTATTTTAGTCTATTATGGTACATTTTTTCTCAGTTGTTTGATGTTAATTATCAATGAATTAGTGTATGTGTAGTGTGTACATGTGTGTGTGAGTGTATGTAATATATATGTGTGTATATTTATGTATTTGATTTATTATTGTAATTTCATTATGTTTTGATTGTAATATTTATATCTGTTTGTATTTTTTTTTTTTTTTTTGGAGAGTGGGGTTGCCTGCTCTATAATCCTATTATCTTTAATAAATAATGTTAAAAAAAATAATTTATTTTTAAAACTCCCATAGACCGCTCCTTTGGGCAAGACTCAAGTAGTCTATATATATTTTTTAAAATAGGGGAATGGACAAACAAGGGACATTTTAGCCAGTTGTTAGAACACCACCTGTATTATACCTATGCATTAATTTCAAAAAGTCATAATTTAGCAAACACAAATAACTGTCCACAAAACATCAGTTAATTGTTATTACATTGTCAAACCTTATTAGGGTGCTTTTGGTATGGATGTGGTCAGGCTTTAGGAATTTCCGTTTTGTGGGTATATTGATATTAAAAGGTATTTCCAACCTTATATGGAGGGTGGGGGATTAAGCAGTGTATGAGGGGGGGGGGGGTGCTGGGCCTTGCCTTTGATTTATGCATAGTTATATTATATGGATGCTACAGTGGTCGACTTTATTAGAGATGAGGAAGGGAGGACTTAGGGGATCTATTCTAACCAGTTAATATTAGGGTGAACTCGACAATGCAAAGTATGTATGTCTACACACGCAAAGACTACAGTAGGAAGAGAGCCTCTAATAAACTATAGCTTCACACACCTTGATTGATTTTGATATTTGGCAATTATCTATATTTATATTCGATTATATATATGCCTATATCATTGCTATCAAACAACATTTCCAACCCTTCTCAAATTATCTTAATACTCGGAGCTGTGGTGGGACGTTAAACACGATGCATGCAAAAATTAATTCCACAGTGTCGTGTAGGCCTACTTTCTTAAGAATAATAAATTGATTCATCACATTTACACAGGCTACAAACAGCTTAAAATTTGTTGAGAGAGGACAAGCCCGTCAGGTATTAACGACAGCGGCTTCACGGGGGTAAGAGGGGTAAAGCTTGTCTGGCATCGGGGAAAACTGTCCGCCTGATGGGGTGGAGGGTCCGAAAACACGGCACATAATCGCCAAGTGGTAAGACGCTGACCTAAATCTTTCACATTTATGCACTTATTACATGTTTCTTTTCATTAGAAATATGATTTACAACGAGTTTAGCTAAAAAAAAATCGACCTAATTATATTATATATTATAGCAAAACAACGACATTGATCTATTAAATTCTCCTTAAGGTCACGTGTATTTACTGTTATTCGCTATTTACCAGATTTTCATTGGCTGAAAGCTCGTCGTCTCACTACTTTTATTATTGCGCGGACAAAAAATGTTGTCGTTTAGATTATTTGTTTAAAACGTTTCTGGCACATAAATTGGAGTGTGGCAGTTTTGTTTACAACATATTAGGGTTATTTCTCGAGAAATAAATATTAAAACTTTCCACAGCTGTGAGTTGCAACGACTTTTGAAAACTAAGCTAGTTAGAACTTCCCAGTCCTCCGCCTATTAGCACCTTCTGCATGGTTTTCTCACGGACACGCTCTTAAGGCTGTTAGACAAGAGCTAGATGAACAAAAACCTGACTGATTACTAAATAAAAGTTGATATTTATTTAAATAATTGTTGAGATGTTTTGGAACATGTCTTTTGAGAATTTTTGATATATTTGGAAGAATGATCGGCCTATAATTATTGGGGTCATCTTTGGTACCTCCTTTATGAAGGGGATAACTTTAGCTTGTTTAAATAAAGAAGGGTGCGTGTTATGATTTATTGACAGGTTAAAATGTGTGTGAGACTAGCACAAAGTTGAACAGCACCTAAGCGGAGAAATAGTGGATTTATTGAATCAAAACCGACTGCTATGGAAACATCTAATGTTTGTAGAGAATTAACTACATCAGTTGTTTTAATAAATGGAATTTGGAAACATACGCTATCGGGTACTTTAGAGTTTACATATTATGTTTTTAAATTAATATCATCAAGCCTTATGTTAATGGGGGTAATATCTGTATTGGCATTGATAATTTTATCGGCTATGTTAGAGAAGAAGTCATTAATTATATTGCTATCCAGTGGTATATGTGGAGACTACTGTTACTTTTGTTTGCTGCTGAATTTAATGCATTCCATATCTGTTTAGAATTTTTGTTATCTCCGATCAGATCCTGGAGGTATTTTGATTTTGACTGACGAATCATTGTTTTTAAACGATTTCACAGAGTGAAGTAAAAATACACAGAGTGGCGACTCGCATTTACGGCCCAGAGAAACACAGCGACGCGCAATGCATCTTGGGAATTGTCTGTAATAAACACACACTGACAGTTAACCCAACGACGTTACGATATTATTATTGTTCGATTTATATAGCGCTTCATTACACGTGAAGTGTTTCTAAGCGCATATCACAAACATATACTTCAAACACACAAAAACAATCAAAATCAGGAGAACATAATTAAACACAGCTGCCTGTTAGGCGCTATTATTCAAAGGTTTATATCCAACAAATCAACCGGCTAATCTCTATATTGAACTCAGTCGAGGTATTACCTGATGAACACCTACACCAAGTAGAGTTCAAAAATAAAAACGAAGTTTAAAAGAATCAACTTCATTAACAAAAATTAAACAATCAAAAACTAAACTGATAAATCAAATTCAAACGAAACAAATAAAACAAAGAAAATGAAAAGAGCAGTTCATTACCATTCTACATTAACAAAATAAAGGAAATCAACTTGTGAAAATTTGTTTAAAAAATAAGAGCAAAGTAACACTAATGTTAATACTTTTTTAACGAACATATCATAAATATAATTAATTTTACCTATAATATCTATTTCAGAAATCAGACTTTATATTGCAAATAAAATAATCCAAAGAGTTGTGTACGACCATTATATTTAAACAGTATATTATGTTGTTATATATATGATAAAGTGAAAGTGATGAGAGTTAGAATTAATGTTAACAATTTGATAATTACTATATTTAATTTGTTAAATGTTGCCCTATGATAAAGTTGGATTCTGCTTTCTCTTGTTCAATCCATGCATCAACTGTATCTATAGTAATGTCTAAAACATATATTATAAAACATCTCCCAAAATAATGCAAGTAAGATTAAGTACTGTTTGTACTAAAATTTTTACAATTCATATAATGTACATAAAGTAATAAACCATTAAACATGGTCAGGAACAATGTCTTATTTAGAAAATTAAACTACAATATATTAGGATGGC